TTGGGCAGGGGGTTGGGCTGGGTGACCCCAGAGGTCCCTTCCAACCCCTCCCAGTCTGTGATTCTGTAAAATCCAGGTAAGCCTGGGCGCTGCTGGTCCAAGCTGCCTTCTGCCGGCTCCTACAGCACCAGCCCCATTCCTTAACCCCCCACCAGCCCTGCGGAATCACAGAATCACAGAATAGTAGGGGTTGGCAGGGACCTCTGTGGGTCATCTAGTCCAACCCCCCTGCCCAAGCAGGGTCACCATATGGATTTATTATAATCCCTCCAACAGTGTCCAGCGGGGTAAGAGCAGAAGGAAGCGACTGGCGTTGCCCGTGCGGCCAGCCTGAAGCTTCCCTCCTGGGCCGCAGCGGGGGTTTGCATGCTGGGGGGTATTAAGGGGAGGGGGATACGAGGGACAAAAACCACGTACCTGGTGAGAGCGGTCCCGGCTGGTGCCAGGGAGGGGTTTGGACTCTGTCAGGGTTGAGTGGCACGGTCCCCATACCCGGCTCCTGCTTTATCAGCCCGTTGAGCATCTGTGCGTTGAGGGTGTTGGGGGGCGACTCGGAGTGTTTCCGCTTCTTGGCGGGGTGCACCGGGAGGCTGCAGAGACCCACAGGAGAGCAGAGGCTGAGCGGGAGAGAAAGAGGCGGGGAGGGAACAGCCTGGGACCAGGCAAAAGCTGGGATCTCACCTGAAAACCCAAACCTCCACGCAGGGACCCACAGGGTCTTGCAGCGCCATCACCACATTCTCCCACCAGGCTCTGGCCACCCATCCCGTGACCGCCAAGCTCTGAGCCACACCTTTGCTTTCCTCCTGTCCATCCCCACCACCCAACTCCAAGCCATGCATTTGGTCACCTCCACCTCGATGCCACCCCTGGATGCAGAACCTGGGCACGCTCCTTCACTTGTAGCTAAACCCAACCACTTTGCTCACGCGTTCTGCGAGCCTCCAGCTCCAATCTCCCTCAAACCACCCGGACAACGCCAAGAAGCCCCAGGCCTTACTCTGCTCCGTGCTGCTGGAGTAGCTGGTGCAGCATCTGCGACTGCTGGGCGTGGTGGAGGTCAGCAGGTGCCATGCCCTGCCCGATGCTGTAGGGTGGCATCAGGGGCTCGGCCTTCATGTACATGTCCCGCTGCAGGCCGGGGTAGTGGGGGGTGTGCGGGTGCGGCG